TACGCACAGTAGATGTGCTAAAAAAATATATCTGGCATGTGACCAAGGTCCTCAAGTGTGCAAATGTGCCGTTCCTGAGCTTTTTACAGTTATGACTTACACTATATTCACCCATTCACTGAAAATGTTAGCTAGTCAGATGCACCAAGTTGCTTGAGACTCTCTTTCATGAAAAATTTATTTACATTATTCTTCTGCCCTACCTATTTCAATTCATTACTGTCCCCAGAAATTTCCTTCATGTGGTAGTTAAGCTGTGTATCCTTTCAGTCCACATAAACTAACTATAATCTAGGAGTACATGATTGGTAACCTTGTTATTTTTGGTTCAAATGGTGTCAGAGAAGAGTTTTATGCACCAGTGAGGTAAACAAGCAGACAAAAATATGCTTTAAGATTATTACGCATTTCCCTTATCCTTCGTAAACTTATGCTGTGGTCAATTTTTTAAAAAAAGATTACACATTTCCTAATTCTTTAAATCACCCAAACTCAATATATAATTTCAAAATTATCTTGTCTACATATTTTTTAAAAAATATTTCCCCAATGTAGAAATCATATTCTTTCATATGGATCTTTGTACTTCCCAAATAAGTCAATTAACCCACCACAAGGGGTCATTTCACTATTAATGTAGTAGCATCAAGCCAAAGAGATATGAACAGAGTAGAATTCTCACAAAATTTGGCCTACAACCTAAGGTATGAAATTACTCTTACCTCTCCCTACAGCTGTTTAAATTTCAAAAGCTGAAAGAGGTAAAGCTGTATTCAATGTGGCAGTGAAAATTATCACCGAACAAAAGGCATCAGTATTAGTAACTTCAGATGGATAATGTGGAGACACTAAAATATGAACTTTATACTTTTCTACCTTCTATCAAAAAGGAAATAGTCTATATTAGCGCTTTTAGATGTTTTGGGTATAGATACCCATCTTATACTCATGTGTATGTGTGCATGCATGCATGCGTGTGCGTGAGTGTATCTCCATCCACTCCAAATCAGAGCTCATTTCAGCATCGTAGTGGTGGCATAAAACTGGTACCACTGTAAAATCTCTATGGAGATATCTCACAATCCAATACTTTCTTAGAGAAAGCTTGTGTCTCAGGCCACATGATGTGGTAAAATTAAACCATGTCCATTAACATTATATTAATTAGTAATTCAGTCTATGTGAAAGTCAATTATACCATGAAAATTAATAATGCAATAAAATTTTATGTGGACACATTTATCCCACTCAAGAAAAGAATTTAAGAACCCTAGCACTTTAGTTGAAAGCTTATTACAAGTCAAAAATTTTTTAACTCATTAAATCAATTCAAATAGGATAAAGAAATGTTTTTTAAAAAATTTCAGGATTTTTTTTGTGCTTATACGTAATGAGTTGAATGTAATTTTAATTTATAAAATATTCTACCATGTAAACATTTCAGAAATTTAAACCTCCCTTCCCAGTAAATTTAAATCTTTGCTTTTTTTTTGGAGGGGGGGGTCACTTACTTTTCACAAAATCACTCTCATTTCCTAGAACGATCCCTCCCGTATAAATACCTAAAAAGGTGTGTTCTTTGTTCTCTTTCACATTCAAAAGAAATGCAAAGTAACTCCATTATTAAAGATGCTACTATGGTTACATGTTACAGATTAAACTGGTTCCCCTAAAATTCACATATTGAAGCCCTAATCCCAATTAATACTTGGAGATGGAGGCCTCTGTGAGGTATTCAAAGTTAGATGAGATTGCAAGGGAGGGAGCCTGGTCCAGTTGGACTGGTGTTCTTATAGAAGAGGAGAGACACAGAGCACTTCTTGTCCTCTCCCTCTGCTCCTCCTCCATTTCCCCTCCTACAAGCAGAGGAAAGGCTGTGTGAGGACATAGCAGGAAAGCAGTCTGCAGGCCAGGAATAGGCCTTCACCAGAAAATGAACTGGCCAGAACCTTAACCTTGAATTTCTAGCCTCCAGGACTGTGAAAAAATAAATTTCTGTTGTTTAAGCCACCCTATCTATGATATTTTGTTATGGAAGTCCAAATGGACTAACACAGTAAACTTCTTAAACCAAGTTTCAAAAGAACTTTAAAATATAGTCAAATGAATTTCTTGCCCACTGCACAGAGCCAAAGTACAATTACTACCAAAACCCCACCTTTTCTGTTGACAAATAACCTATGATGACTATAAATTTACCTTCTTACACAGTTTTAGCATTAGAAACCAATAGGCATTAAGGACAGGAAGCCTACAATCAAGTATGGCACTTTTCATAGTGGTCAGGAATACAGGCTCCAGGGGACAGTAACCAGTTCAAGTGCAGGCTCTACTTTTTAATGTCTACACATTTCCAAAAATTATTACTTAAGGAAGGTTATCAAACTTTCTCATGACTTGATAAAATTATATTCAAGTTTGGTTGAAAGAAAATAATGTATACTTCAAACACCAGAAATATTAAATTAATATATGTAATTATAAAAAACAGAACTGAACTGTACATTTCAATTCAATTCAACATATTCAACATCAAACACTTCTATACCATGTGGGACAGTGTGCTAGCATTCACATTGTTTAGAAAATATAATAAAGACATTTACCTATAAGTAAATGTCAAATATGAGTTAAAAAGCATAATAGCCTTGAATCCCTACCCAGTGAAGTCCAAACTACAGTACTTACTGGACAACTCCTCTATGGATTACACATAAGCATCCCAAACTCTCCTTGTTCTAAAACTAAACTCCTAATCACTATCACCACCAGCACCACCCACTGTTCACCCTCTTAATCAAACTTCGTCTTCCTGAAGTCCTTTTCTCCAATAACTAATATTCCCAACCATCCAGAAACTTTGAAGTCATCCTTAAATCCTCTTTCTTTCACACCTAAATCTAATATGAAAAATGACTGCCGCTAATAAAATTATTTTGGAGAAATGTACCAAGTGAAAAAGTGGCATTAAATAAACTACTTGAATTCAGAACATATAACGAACTCTCACAACTCAAGGAAAAACAACCACATTTTTAAAAATACTAAATGCACTATAATACACCTGGACTGGATCCTGAAGAAAAATAAAACATTAGTGGGAAATCTGGCAAAATTCAAATAAAGTCTGCAGTTAATAGTATTGATCCAATATTAATTTCTTACTTTTGACAAATATACTATAAATTATTAAACACCAGGAGAACCTGAGTGTCAGGCATATATATGGAAACTCTCAGTACTATTTTGGGAATTTTTCTGTAAATCTAAATTTAATTCAAAACAAGAAATTAATACTGGGCACGGTGGCTCACACTTGTAATACCAGCACTTTGGGAGGCCAAGACGGGCAGATTACCTGAGGTCAAGACTTTGACACCACCTGGCCAACATGGTGAAACCCCATCTCTACTAAAAATACAAAAATTGGCTGGGCATGGTGATATGCACCTGTAATCCCAGTTACTCAGAAGGCTGAGGCTGGAGAATCACTTGAACCTGGGAGGGGGAGGTTGCAGTGAGCCAAGATCGTGCCATTGCACTTCAGCCTGGGTGGAAAAAGTGAAACTCCATCTCAAAAAAACAAAAAAAGAAAGAAAAGAAAAGAAATTAAAATAGAGATAAAATATTTAAAAAGACCTTTACCAAAGACATATGGGTGGAAAGTAAGTATATGAAAGGTTTTCACTGATAATGATTAAGGAAATGCAATCCTGTACATGAATAACAGCATCATTCATAATACCCAAAAGATAGAAACAACCCAAATGTTGATGAATGGATACAGAAAACTTAGTATTATCTATGTAATGGAATATTACTTGGCTATAAAAAGAAATGAACTAGGCCAGGCACAGTGACTCATGCCTGTAATCCCAGCACTTTGGGAGGCCAAGGTGGGTGGATTGCTTGAGTCCAGAAATAAGAGACCAGCTTGGGCAATATGGTGAAACACCATCTCTACAAAAAGTACAAAAACTAGCTGGGCATGATGGCACACACCTATAGTCCCAGCTACTTAGGAGGCTGGGGCAGGAGGATCACTTGAGCCTGGGAGGTCAAGGCTGCAGTGAGCCATAATCACACCACTGCCCTCCAGCCTGGGCAACAGAGAGGCTCTGTCTCAAAAAAAAGGAAAAAAAGAAAAATGAACTGCTGATACATACTACAACATGGATCAATCTTGAAAACATTATGCTAAATGAAAGAAGCCAGACCCAAAGACCACATATAAACTATTTACATGAAATGTCCAGAATAGGAAAATATATAGACAGACAGTAAACTGGTAGTTGCTTAGGACAGAAGGAATGGAGGATGAGGATATAGGAATTTTCTTTTTGAAGTTGATAAAATGTCCTAAAGTTGATTGTGGTGATGGTTGCATATATCTAGGAATATATTAAAAACCACTGATTATATACTTTAAATGGGTGAATTGTATGATATGTGAATTATACCTCAATAAAGTTGTTTCTAAAGTACAGAATTAGATGCCATCACATGCCTATTAGATGGCTTACGAAATAAAACTGACACGTGTAAGTGCTGACTAGGATGCAGAATTTAAACTTTTGTACACTGCTGGTAGAAATAAAATATAATGGCTGGGCATGGTGGTTCACACCTGTAATCCCAGCACTTTGGGAAGCCAAGGCGGGTGGATCACGAGGTCAGGAGTTCGAGACCAGCCTGACCAACATGGAGAAACCAGTCTCTGTTTGGAAAACTCTGTCCCTACCGCGAAAGCTCTCTCTCTCTCTCTCTTTCCCTCCCCCACAAAGAGGCTCCCTTATCTCTCACTTTACATACCTGCCCTAGCCCTCCCGCCGCCCAGCTTCCCGCTGCCCAGCAGTTCAAACTGACCAACAGTTGCCCACCACCTCGGCTTTGGGCTTCCCCACCCCCCAGCCCTTCAGCCCCCTATAAAACAACCCTGCCCCTCTGAGCGGCGCGGCCATTTTTCCTTTTTGTCCCGGCTGGCCCGCCCGGAGGTTCTTTCCTCTCAATAAAGCCTGAACTTAAGGAATTTCCTCTAGCCTGTGGTCCGGTTTCTTTCCCAATGAGCCCAGTCTTCCCGCAGAGGGTAGGTCGGACAAATGGTGCCGAAACCCGGGAGCTGGGGCCGTTGGCCCGGCCACGGCCCCCCTCCCCGACCTACCCAACACTGGCCCTGCCACCTCCACGTTCCGATTAAGGTAAGCCAAGTTTTTTCTTGCTTTGCCTTCCCCCGCTTCCCGTCTCCTCTTCCTACGGCACGGTGCAGTTGCTCCCTCTCCGGCGTTCCGCACGGACTCCTTGCCTAGTCTCGGCCGAGCCAAGGTAGTCTTCCATTCCAGCTCCAGGAGCCTTCCGAGGGACAGCCGCCAGATGGGGGATGCCCCTCTGACCGCTTCCCTTTCCGTACTTAATTGTACTCCGGGGAATTTGCAACGAACGGGAACGCCTTTTCGTTGCATCTGCCCATCCGCACCAGAGGGTCTGTAGCTGCGCCTGCTATGGGAAATTCGGAGTCTAAAATACCTCTGAGCACCCCCCTTGGGTGCTTGCTGCGAAATTTTACCAAATTGGGATATTCCCAAACCCTCAGAAAGAAAAAGCTTATTTTCCTGTCCCAGGTGGCTTGGCCCCAATACAAACTCGGTAACCAGTCACATTGGCCCCCGACTGGCACTTTTGATTTCAACACCCTCCGAGATCTCGACGATTTTTGTCGCCGTGCAGGCAAGGACAATGAAATTCCTTACGTCCAGGCTTTTTGGGACCTCCGTACCCACCCCGACCTATGTTCTTCCTGCCCCACCTACCAAATCCTCTTAGCTCGAACCCCTCGTAAATTTTCCTCCACTACCTCTCCCCCTCCCTACTCCTCACCGGAGGATCTGCCTGAACATCTGTCCTCTCTTGCCAATCTCAGCAACCAGTCGCCATCAACGGCACGCCCTTCCCCCACTCCCTCTGCACCTCCTACCTCAGAGGCCATGCCTCGCTCTCCCTCTACTCCCTCCGAGCCCCCTCCCTCAGAGGCCGCACTTCCTCTTGCCTCTCCGGTGGCGGCCCACACCCGCTCCCACCAGCCAGCTATCCTGGCCCCACTCCGAGAAGTAGCAGGCGTGGAAGGTTTAGTCAGGGTCCATGTTCCTTTCTCACTCCAAGACCTGTCCCAAATTGAGAAACGTTTAGGATCCTTCTCAGCTGACCCGTCCACCTATATTAAAGAATTCCAATACCTCACTCAAGCATAAGAAGCCCTAGTCCGGTATACTCGACTAGATCCAGCCTCCCAAAACGGGGCCACTGTATTAGCCTCCCATTTTATCTCCCAATCAGCACCCAACATAAGAAAGAAACTAAAGAAAGCAGAAGAGGGGCCAGAGACTCCCATCCAAGACCTGGTAAAAATGGCCTTTAAAGTATTCAATGCCAGGGAAGATGCGGCTGAGGCTGCCCGCCAAACTTGCATGAAGCAGAAGGCTGCCCTCCAGACCCAAGCCCTAGTGGCGGCTCTAAGGCCGGCAGGGAACCAGAAGCCCAAGGCCGAAACCCATGCCCCTCCAGGGACATGTTTCAAATGTGGAAAGGAAGGACACTGGTCCCGAGCCTGTCCACAACCACGGCCACCAACTAAGCCTTGCCCTATCTGTCGGCTCCCGGGACACTGGAAGTCAGACTGCCCCAGCTTCCCCAGGGTGCCGGTTCCTCAAAACAGACACACTGGCGTTACGCAGCCGGCGGTCACCCTCAGTAGGGAGGAGCCTGCTTGCCAGGAGCCGACCTCCGAGGGAGCTCCGTTCCCCAGTCTACTAGGGCTGCTAGATGACTAGCGGGGCCCTGGCTTACCGACTCCGGTTACCCTCACTGAGCCAAGGGTCAAAATTCAGGTAGCGGGTAAAAGTGTCTCGTTCTTGCTCGACACGGGGGCTACCTACTCCGCACTTCCTTCCTATTCTGGCCGTCTCACTCCTTCCCAGGTCTCGGTCATGGGAATCGACGGGACCCCGAGTATCCCCTACCAAACCCCACCACTCATGTGCTCATATAACTCCACTCCATTCACCCACTCCTTTTTAGTAATCCCCACCTGTCCAGTTCCCCTTCTGGGGCGAGACATCCTTTCAAAGCTGAAGGCCGTCATAACCTTCCCCTCCGCCAACCCACACAGTCTCTTTCTCCTAGCCCTCACCTCAGACACTGAACCCCAAAAAGCCCTGTCAGAACTACTCCCTGGAGTCCACCCTCAGGTCTGGGACATTAACAACCCATCTGTAGCTACCCACCACCAGCCAGTTCAGGTCCGCCTTAAAGACTCCTCGCCTCATTTTCTCTGCCGCCCTCAATTTCCCATCTCTAAAGCCCACCGTATGGGTATCAGACCCATCATAGAGAAACTAAAAGGTCAAGGCCTCCTAATTCCTATTAACTCCCCATGTAATACCCCCATCCTCCCAGTACGAAAACCATCAGGACAACATAGGCTAGTCCAGGACTTGCGCTTAGTTAATGAAGCTGTAATTCCCATACATCCAGTTGTCCCCAACCCATACACCATTCTCTCTAACATTCCCCCAGGGACCACCTGTTTCTCAGTCCTAGACCTAAAGGATGCCTTCTTCACTATACCTCTACACCCTAATTCCTACTTTATCTTTGCCTTCACTTGGGATGATCCCCTCACGAACATGTCCCAACAACTGGCCTGGACAGTCCTTCCACAGGGCTTCCGAGATAGCCCACACCTGTTCGGCCAGGCACTCGCCACTGACCTACTCCACTGCAACCTCAAGCCCTCTCACCTCCTCCAATACATAGATGACCTTCTTATCTGCTCCCCCACCCACCAGGAGTGCATCCAGGCCACCACCGCCCTACTCAATTTCCTAGGAGATAAGGGATACCGGGTGTCACCAACCAAAGCACAAATAGCCTCACCCACCGTCACCTACCTAGGCATACAGCTCACACCTGGGCGATGGTCCATCACAATCGACCGACTACAAGCCTTAAAGGCGCTCCAGGCCCCTGAGTCAGTAAAAGAAATCCTCTCCTTCCTACGACTAGTAGGGTTTTTTCAACACCGGGTACCTAATTATGCTTTGCTAGCAAAACCTCTATACCATGCTGCTGCAGAAGCCCCCGAGGGACCACTCTCCTCACCAGGTTCTGTCAACCGGGCGTTCAAGTCACTGCTTAACGCCCTTTGCACCTCCACCAGCCTAGCCCTGCCCAATCCCAACTTACCCTTCCAACTATATACAGACGAGAAACAACATACAGTTGTAGGAGTGCTAGTCCAACCAGTAGGACAGACCCTTCTGCCTATAGCCCTCCTGTCTAGACAACTTGACCCAACTGAGCGAGGATGGCAGCCATGTCTTAGAGCCCTAGCTGCCGCCGTCACCCTAATCACAGAAGCTCTTAAGATCAATCTACAATTCCCACTCCAAGTCTTTTCTCCACACAGGTTGACTGAACTGCTCAGTCAACACTCTCTGCCCCACCTCGGGCCCTCCCGTATTCAACTGCTTCACCTACTGTTTATTGAGAACCCCAACATCACTCTTTCTCACTGCTCCTCATTAAACCCGGCTACCCTCCTCCCTTGCCCTCCGTACTCCAGCCCCCTACATTCCTGTACTGAAATCCTCAAATTAGCCCAGTCTCCTCGTCCCGACTTGCTACCTCAACCCCTACCATCTGCCTCCATTACCCTATTCGTTGATGGCAGCTCTATACCTCATTCCACCGGCCCACGGAGAGCGGCCTATGCTGTAGTAACTCACTCGGAAATCATAGAGACCCGCCCCTTCCTCTTGGGACCACTTCACAACAGGCTGAATTAGTCGCCCTCACTCGGGCCCTATCCTGGTCCCAGAACAAAGAAGTAAATATATATACTGACTCCAAGTATGCCTTCCTCATAGCTCACTCACACTGCATGATCTGGAAGGAACGAGGCTTCCTCACCACTAAGGGCACGCCCGTTCTCAATGGAAAACTCATTGCTGCCCGTATCCAAGCCGTTCAACTCCCTAGCAAGGTAGCCATCGTCCACTGTAAAGGGCATCAGTCCCTGAACTCACCCATAGCCGCGGGGAATGCCTTTGCAGACAGGGTAGCTAAAGACACGGCAAGAAACCATCCGCCACCCACCTCCACTCTCTGTTTCTTGTCCAAGTCATATAGCCCTCAATACTCTACCTCAGAACTCCAGGCCCTCCAGTCTACCCCCGGGGTACGGTTCAAAGATGACTGGGCCTTCAAGCATAACCTCCTCATCCTCCCCGAAAAGCAAAAGTACCCGATAATCCAAGACATCCACAATTCACTCCACATTGGGCCTAAAGGCTTATACCGGTTCCTCAACCCACTCTTTCACCCCCACCACCTCCTCAGTACCATACAGGAAGTCCAGTCCTCATGTACTGTCTGTGCAAAAACTAATTCCCAGGGTTCCTGTCATCCCCGGAGCCAGCTTCATCAGCTATGCGGGTTCCTACCTGGCCAAGACTGGCAAATTGATTTCACCCATATGCCAAAGCACAAACAGTACCGGTATCTGCTAACCATTGTTGACACTTTTTCAGGCTGGATTGAAGCTTACCCCATAGCCTCTGAGTCTGCCGGGACAGTAGCCACTCATCTCATTCAAGACATCATCTCACGCTTTGGACTCCCGGCTACCATACAGTCAGACAACGGCCCAGCCTTTATCTCCAAAGTCACTAATGCTGTTTCTACCTCTCTAGGAATTCAGTGGAAGCTACACGCCGCCTACCATCCTCAGTACTCTGGTAAGGTGGAACGGGCCAATGGCCTAATAAAGGAGCATCTGACCAAGCTCATGCTTGAGCTTCACCAATCCTGGGTAACCTTGCTTCCTATTGCCCTCACCAGGTTGAGAGCAAGCCCCCGGGGCCCATCACAGCTTAGCCCGTTCGAGCTGCTGTATGGTCGTCCCTTCCTACTTTCAACTCCCCCACCGCCAGAGACCACTCCTCTAGACAGCTACCTCCCCTACTTTACTCTCCTTCGCAGCCTTCTCCGAGAACACGCCAACGCTTCTCTTCCCCAACCCACCCAGCCATCTGAAAATACACAGAAAGTCTCCCCCGGGGACTCAGTTCTTATCAGGTCCCTCTCCCCAAAGCCCCTCGCCCCCAAGTGGGAAGGACCATACACAGTCCTCCTTACCACTCCATCAGCTATAAGAATTGCTGAAATCCCATCTTGGGTTCACCTCTCTCGGGTGAAAAAGGCTCCTCATGGACCCTCCCCTATGCTGGAAGGCTGTTCCTACTGGCCCTTTATCTGTCAAACTTACCAGGGCCTAGCAGCCACACCCCCTACAGATGGAGATTCTTCCTAACTGAAAACTATACCAAAACCACCTTCATCTGTAATACCCCCCATACAGCCACAACCACCTTCTTGCAACTTCCGACTGCTCTGCTGCCGGATGCCAAAGTGCCATATATCTGAACTTCACCAAATTCCACAACGTCCATACTGATATACCTCTCATGTGCTTCAACCATGACCAACCATCAGGAGCATGCAATAATACTCCTTGGTGCTCCTGCATGGGATGTACTTGGATGAGCTGTCGACTACATATAGCTGTCAAGTCCACAGTACCTGCCCGATCTCAGCTCAAAATCATCCCAGATGTAGATGGAGAAGGAAACACCATTATCGGTTCTACACGGTATTCCCTTCTCATACCTGACCCCTGGGACAACCGGTGGAAAAGCCCCAAGAAAGCTGCCGTGTATGACCACATAGATACCAAATATCCCTCTTCCCACCTGTACATCTGGCGGGCATACGTACGTACAGTCCACTAAGTCCACTCTGACATTAGCCTACAAGAAAAATCTCTGAATGACCAATTGCAACCACATTCGCCTCCGTTTTCCTGGTTAACCTTTCTCCAAGAAGGAATCAAGTTAGCTAACCTCTCAGGATTAACTGACCTAACCTCATGCCTCATGTGTGCCTTCTTAGGACAGACTCCCTTCATTGCAGTCCCCTACCCCATCCCTCTCAACCTTTCAGCCTCAACTTCTTCCTTCTCCCCCATCAAGGAAGTCGATCTCTACACTCCACCTGATTTTGAACAGCTACCTGTGTGCTATTCCCTAGGCCGAAACTTCCCTAGCTGTAACAGAACTATACGGGTAACCACTAATATAACAGCCCCACGAGGAACGTTTTTCTGGTGTAACAAGACCTTAACAAAAACTCTCTACATTGGTCTTTCCTCATCTCTTTTATGCCTCCCAGTAACCCTAGTCCCTCGACTCACCATATATTCCCCAGCCGAAATCCAGATGCTGCAAACTCCCCATCGCCGCACCCGACGAGCTGCCTTCCTACCCATTGCCGTTGGAGTCTCCCTTGCTGGTTCAGCACTTGCAGCAGGATTAGGAGGAGGGGCACTAGTCCACTCTCACCTGGCTATAGCCCGACTGACCTCACAATTCCAAGCAGCTATTGATGACTCTACTGAGTCTTTAGCATCACTCCAACGACAGATCACCTCAGTTGCCCAAGTTGCCTTGCAGAACCGAAGAGCCCTAGACCTGCTCACTGCTGAACGAGGAGGGACCTGTATCTTCCTACAAGAAGAGTGCTGTTACTACATCAATGAATCCAGCCTAGTAGAAACCCGAATCGAGAGCCTCCAGAAACTCAAAACTAACCTGCAGAGTCAGAAGTTCTCGGCTGAAGCCACAGCGTGGTGGTCTTCCTCTATGTATACCCTCTTGTCCCCATTGCTTGGGCCCCTAGTAGCCGTTTGCCTAATCTTACTTATTGCTCCTTGCTTTCTACAGTTCCTACAGCGGCGCTTTCAAGAACTGACTCGAGTCACCATCCACCAGATGCTGCTCCAACCCTACCCTGAACGAGTGCAAGAAGCGGACCTTGCCCCGAACATCCAGGCTCCTTAAGAAAAGAGACCTCTTCAGAACCCCCCCCCCCGTCGACCCTTGTCAGCAGGAAGTAGCTAGAGAGACAACCAATGCCCCTGACCCCCTCTTTTTCTTTTCTTTAAGGAGTCGGGAATGTTTGGAAAACTCTGCCCCTACCGCGAAAGCTCTGTCTCTCTCTCTTTCCCTCCCCCACAAACAGGCTCCCTTATCTCTCACTTTACATACCGGCCCTAGCCCTCCCGCCGCCCAGCTTCCCGCCACCCAGCAGTTCAAACTGACCAACAGTTGCCCACCACCTCGGCTTTGGGCTTCCCCACCCCCCAGCCCTTCAGCCCCCTATAAAACAACCCTGCCCCTCTGAGCGGCGCGGCCATTTTTCCTTTTCGTCCCAGCTGGCCCACCCGGAGGCTCTTTTCTCTCAATAAAGCCTGAACTTAAGGAATTTCCTCTAGCCTGCGGTCCGGTTTCTTTCCCAATGAGCCCAGTCTTCCCACAGAGGGTAGGTCGGACAGTCTCTACTAAAAATACAAAATTAGCTGGGCATGGTGGCACATGCTGTAATCCCAGCTACCAGGGAGAAGAGGCAAGAGAATCGCTTGAACCCAGGAGGCGGAGGTTGCGGTGAGCCAAGATTGTGCCATTGCACTCCAGCCTGGGCAACAAGAGCAAAACTCTGTCTCAAAAGAAAAAAGAAAGAAAAGAAAATGCAATATAGCTACTTCGGGAAGGAGTCTGTTAGTTTCTCATAAAGTTGAACATATACCTATCATATATCCTAACAATCTTACATTTAGGTATCTATCAAGAAAAACATATGTCCATATTAAGACTATACATGAACATTTATAGCAGCTTCATTAATAACTGCCAAAAACTAGAGGCAAATATTCATCACTTGGAGAAAGAATAAACAAATTTTAGTACATCTATACAGTGAAATACTATTCAACAACAAAAAGAAGCAAACCATTGATACATAACAGTATGGCTGAATCTCAAAAGCTTATGCTTAGTGGAAAAAGTCACACAAAAAGACTGTACACTATATGACTCTATGTACAGTACAAGGCATTCTTAAAAAGGCAAAACTATAGGGATAGAAATCGGATCACTGGTTGCCAGAGGCAAGCTAGGCAGGGAGGACTGACTACAAAAAGGCACAAGGGATCTTTTCAGGGCAATGAAAATATCTTAATTTTGATTTTGGTTATAGTGGTGACAGGACTGTACACACATTAAAACTCACAGAATTTTACACTTTAAGAGGTTGAGTCTTATCATACATAAATTATATCTGACTTTTGCAAAACTTGCATCCAACTTAATCACAAGTTTATATTTTAAAAATAAAGGAAAATAAATGTACTAATGCAATGCTGGTAGTACCATAAGTCACTTTTACAACAACTAGCAAAATTAGAAATGCAAGCACCCTTTGGCCCAGCAGAAATTTTCCAGGTCTGGTATGTGAGGGGTATTCATTGTAGCCCTATGATACTCTGTAATGGTTAATCACACAAACAGGAACTCTGCATGTACTGATGTAGAAAGATCCTCAAACTGTATTTTACGTTAAATAAAAGGGAAGGTATGTATATAGATATAACTTGACAAGAAAAAAATGTTATAATGGATCTGTGCATAATTTTTTTAATTTTGGGAAGAATAAACAAGCAACTAAAATCACTCACTACCAGAAGGGAATTGAGAATTACGTAGGTGTGGAAGAGGGAAGATTGCACTATGTAATTTTTTTGTGTTTTTTGATGTGTGAATGATGCAAAACAAAAACAAAAGCTAGTATATAATATTTAAAACATTAATTTAGGTACAAGTTATAAACATTTCTAGAACACTAAAAGCATTCCAGAAAGAAAAACATTATCATATATACTTACAACGCACCTAACTTTGAAGTACCAGAAAAAAATGAGCAATCAATGTAAAAGACTGTATTTAACCTTTCTTTCTGACCCACCACCCACAAAAATAGAAGAAATAAGGCGTGTGAGAAATAGAGAACAAAGAATGGTTTGGAAGAAAAAGCTGTAATTTAGAAAAAGGAGGCATAAATGAGAAAACTTTGATTTTAAAACGCCAAGAACAACCCTGTACCTTTCTGTCCTGGAGTTCAGTGCTCATCTAACCCTAAAGGTGCGATAGCCCTTTCTATGCCTTGTAAGGGCCAAAGAGAAACAAGCAAGACTCCCTGCCACAGGCACAAGGAGGCATTGTCCTCTACAAACAAAGGACTCAAAAACATCAATTAAGCACACATACACAAGCCCATCACAACCAAGGACCTGGATGGATTATTTTCAAATTTCAGAAGCACTTAAGTCTTCTTGAAAGCCCACATTCCAAAATCTGGCCAAGTAATTCTGTCTTTCATTCTGCAGTTAAGACTGTGAAGTACAATAATAAAATTGTGTTAGAGGTGTATAACCTCAAGATAACTTAGTGTATTTCTGTGTAAGATACAAGTTTATGAATAAATAGTTCTAATTCTTGATCAATTCTAGACCAACCAGTCCCTCGCTGAATAGTGTGGTCCTGTAACAAAGTTCATTCTCAAGCTAAGACATTATCCTAATGGCACCAGTTAAATAAGCAAAAACATCAGGAATATTTTACTCTCCAACTTGCTAGTTTCAAACAATATACCCATTAAAATCTGGATTTTTGTTGCCAAGTGTGCAGATTCGAATCTGTATCCTCTTGGTAAAGAGACTGTAACTTCCCAAACATTTCCTCTGGCTTTTTTCAGTTAGCATAGAGAACCAAGGTTCCCAGCTATGTCCCCACAAAGAAAGGCTAAGTATTAACAAATCCTATGTTAAAACTTCTTAAGGAATGGAAGTAACAAGTATGCCAAGTCTGTGTTTCTGACAAACAAGGAGATGGCTGGATATAGGACTTGAGAAAACTAGATAACTTTCCCAAGTACAGAACAACCTGAAAGACATCAATCTAGCCCAAAGTTCCCTAGCCCAAGGTTCCCAAAGCCCAAAGAACTTTAGCTTTGGACTTAGCATTTCTATTTCTCTTCAACTAGTAAAAATCCCGAATAGTATAGCTGACTGAATAAAAACAACAACAGCAAAAGCTAAAAACCAAAATACCAATAGTAATTCATCAGACAAAGATATCAAGATATGCCAACAAAATCAGCAATCAATAAATCTTAGATGTTATTAAAACCACGCAAAACTCTGTATTATTTTCAAATAAACCTGGAGAGTAAAACAGGCTATTTAAAAAGGTGTAGTTAAAATAGTAATAGATGGCCGGGCACAGTGGCTCACACCTGTAATCCCAGCACTTTGGGTGGATTGCTTGAACCCAAAAGTTTGAGACCAGCCTGGGCAACATGGTGAAACCCAATCTCTACAAAAAATACAAGAATTAGCCAGATGTGGTGGTACCCACCTATGGTCCCAGCTACCCAGGAGGCTGTGGTGGGAAGATCACTTGAGCCTGGGAGACAGAGGGTGCAGTGAGCTAAGATTGTGCCACTGCATTCCAGCGTGGGCAACAGAGTAAGATCCTGTCTCAAAAAATTAAATAAAATAAAACAATAATAAATACCCTTTATTGAGAGTAATCTATTTGCTAAGCCTGGGTCTAAAAGAAGCCCTTCCAGTCTTACTCTACTAAATCTAATTGTTTAAAAATTTTAATAAAATTAGACTTTAGACCTACAATTGATCTCTAAAGTAAAAGCAGCCTAGCAGAAGAATTTGAATAAACAAAAATGTGCATGCCTGTAGTCCTAACTACTTGGGAGACTGAGGTGGAAGGATCACTTGCGCTCAAGAGTTCAACACTGCAGTGAGCTATAATCACACCACTGCAATTCAACCTAGGTGACAGGGCAAGACCCTGTTGTCAGAGGCATTTGAACCAGAGCAACTCCATCTTAAATAGGAGCTGGGTAAAATAAGGCTGAAACCTACTGGGCTGCATTCCCAGGAGGTTAGGCATTCTTAGTTACAGGATGAGACAGGAGGTTGGCAGGAGATATGGGTCAAAAAGACCCTGCTGATATAATAAGACAAGGTAAAGAAGCAGGCCAAAACCCTCTGGTAGTACTCACTGTTCATTATTCATTAATTATAATGCATTACATTGCTAAAAGACACTTCCACCAGTGCCATGACAGTTTATAAATGCCATGGCAATGTCTGGAAGTTTCCCTATATGGTCTAAAATGGGGAAGAACATTTCAGTTCTGGGGGAAATCCCTACCCCTTTCCAGGAAAACTCATGAATAACTCACCCCTTGTCTAGCATATAATCAATAAATAACCATAAAAATAGCCAGCCAGCCGTCCTCAAGGCTGCTCTATGGAGTAGCCATTCTTTTATGCCTGAATTTTTTTTCTTTTTTGAGACAGAGTGTCGATCTGTCACCTGGCTGCAGTGCAGTGGCGCAATCTCGGCTCACTGCAACCTCCCCCTCCCAGGTTCTAGTGATTCTCCTGCCTCAGCCTCCTACGTAGCTGGGACTACAGGCACACACCACCATGCCCAGCTAATTTTTCTATTTTTAGTAGAGACAGGGCTTCACCATATTGGCCAGGATAGTCTCAATCTCTTGACCTTATGATCTACCCGCCTCGGCCTCCCAAACTGCTGGGATTACAGGCATGAGCCACCACGCCTGACCTATTCCTGTACTTCCTTAATAAACTTGCTTTGTTTTACTCTGAGGACTCACCCCAAATTCTTTCTTGCCCAAGATCCAAGAACCCTCTTTTTTCAGGGTCTGTATCTGGATCCCTTTCCACTGTCTCAAAAAAAAAAGAAAAGAAAAGAAAAACATCCTAAGCAAATTAGAACTACATTTTGTAAAAGTCTTTATTAACAATATAGACATTTACACCTGCTCTTATTATAGAGGGAGTAGAGTGGATAGAATAGGGACTTTGAAATCAGACAGTTACATGTACTTATGCAAACTACTTAATCCCTGCATCTTGTTTTCTTCATTGGTCAATTGATAATAATACCTCCTGCTATATTAGGTTGATGTTAGAACTAAATAAACCATGAGAAAACATCTAGCTGAGTTTCTGGCACGTAACAG